CTTTGTTGACAATTAGACCTATAGCAGGGGTGCCGCTTGAAAAAAAAACTCATATTTGGGACGAACATGGTGAGAGGATATGTTAAAAAAATGGAAAGAAAAATATGAAGAAGAGGAAGAAATCAGAGGGGAGAGAGAGAGAGGGGCACGGGGTTCTTGCAAATTATTTGAACATATGGACATTTTCTGCAGCAAGGGTACTAATTGCAATTTAACATTTTTTTTCTTTTTTTTGCTAAATTTGTAGGAATAAAATTGTAGCTAAATCATAAATATATTTAAGAAATGGGTTTTTGTGCATAGGTTCCTAACCAAGCATCTTTATTATTCTAGGTTTAGGAGTTATATATATTTTACCAATAAGCCCAATCTCTTTAATATTTATTATAAATAAAGGAAACATTCATGTATATGACAATATTACCCCAATCTTTTATACCCAATTGTTAATTTTAACCCCAATTTAATCAATTTTGTCAAAAAAATTCAATTTTGACCACAAAAATCCAATTTTGACTTTTTTCTTTCAAATTTTTTTTGCCGCCGGATTGCGGCTACTTTTTCGGTTTTTTTTTTTTGGTCTGTTATTTTCCGCCGCCGGCGTTGACTTTTTTTAGTGTTTTTTAGTGTTTCTTTTTTTTACTTGTTATATTTTTTTACGTCTGCTGCTAAATGTTGACCGTAATTGTGATGTCACTGACAGTAAATTAACGTAATTATACTGTCAATGACAGTACATTAACGTAATTGTACTGTCGTTGGCCATATATTTATGTAATTGTTCTGCCGTTAACGGTAAATTAACGTAATATTATTATTATTATTATTATTTTTCTTTTTTTTTTTTTTTAATTTTCTTTGATTTGTTGACAAGTCAACGTAATTATATACTGTCGTTGACAGTAAAATAACTGTAAACACAATAATATTACTGTCAACCACATCAATATTATTATTTTTTTTGGGTTTTTTGTTTTGTTTGAGTTATTCACGGAGTAACGTAATAATATTACTGTCTATTATTGTAATATTACTGTTAACACAATAATATTACTGTGGTTGACGGTAATATTACTGTTGTTATAGTAATATTGTTGTCAACCACATCGATATTATTATTTTGTTGGGTTTTTTTGTTTGTTTGAGTTATTCACGAAGTAACGTGATAATATTACTGTCTATTATTGTAATATTATTGTGGTTGACGGTAATATTAATGTTGTTATAGTAATATTATTGTCACTCACACTAATATTAATTTTTTTGGCTTTTTATTTGTTTACATTTGTTGAACAGTCAACATAGTAATATTACTCTATTACACAATAATAATGAGTTTTGTTGTGTTAATATTACTGTGCTAGAGATTAATAGAACAATATTACTGTGTTAAACTGTAGTATAGTCACTTTTACTGTGTTTAACAGTAATATAGTTAATATTACTGTAAACGAGGAAAAAAAAAAAAAAGGTCAACGCCGGAGACCGGCGATCAACAGCGGTGACGGACGGAATTGTCCATAAAAATGTGTTTTGGGAAATAATTTGTGAAATTTGGGGTCAAATTGATGTTAAATTTAATTAAATGATGAAATTGGAGCATATTAAAGTATGAGGGGCTATTTTAGTCTTTTACAAAAAAAATGGACCATGTGTGGACTTATTTGTAAAGGAGTTTATTGTTTGGATCTCTTTATGAATAAGTACTCTAAAGACCTCTTTAAGAAAAGGGTTCATAGCACGGTCACTTGCCTCCACGTGCTTTTTCCGTCCAAACTAACTCCAAAATCAAACTGTGGACTAAAAGTCTAAAAATCTGGTTATTTGAGGACTAATTTTGTGGCAGAAAAAACTTAAGAACCGAAATAAAAAAATGTATAATATAAGGACCAAAATTTTAATTTTTCTCAATTATGTCTTTTAAAGTTCAACATTATTATTCTTTTTTTAATTTTTTTTAGAAATTCAATTTTTGTTACAGTTTGGGAAGTAGGTGAAGGGGGTAGGATTCGAACGCTAAACATCTACTCTAATAGTAAAAGTTAGGTACCAACTATCATAATGAAGGTTGGTAATATTATTATTTTCATTTTATGATTGTTTTATATTTCTCGTATCCATTTTGTCATCTTCGTGATTGACAATATGAACCTTGCCATCTTGATACATATTTAAAAAAAAATGGTAGGTATTGTACTTTTGAAACTATAGAGATAGGGTTACTTACCTTATTTTATTAAACTCGTCTTTAACCACAAGTTTTGTTGTTTCTGAAATCATTGAAAATTAGCATGCATAAAAAAACTACAAAAACACGTTAAACTCAAATATAACTTCAATCATTAGAACCCCGATTTTCTAATTGACTTAAACTAAGAATTTAGTACGTTAGGCAATCACTCAAATTGCAAATAATGTACCGATGTTTGTATGACCAATTCAATATCTAATGCAAATAAACCAATTCTCGGTGGCATACAATAGGGAAAACAAAAAATTGCAGTCTATGAAGAAAAATAAATGATAGAAAGATAATTACATATAATACCAAGAACAAGGCAGCAAGCGAACAAAAAATTAGTGATTACGTGATTCTAGTCCCAAAATGACTCAGGGTTATGATGCCTTTTGTTTATGGAATACAACACTCGGTGTCAAAATTAAAAGTAGTAGAGCTTTTGAGGTTCTTGTAAAATTAAAAGGCAAAAAGGCCATTATATGTTTCTTACATTTTTCTGTCTATGCTAATTGAGATTCAGTCACCTCAATTTAACAATACACAATACACTATATTTACGACATAGGTATACGTACATATAGAAGAAAATATGTAGAAACATTTAAAACCTTTGACTTCTCACTTTTAGTAATTAACTTAATAAGATGTCAAGTCTCGCCCTTTAAAAACTTTGAGCTTTCATTTTCCTTTTTTTCCCTTCTCCAAGCTAAACGCATCTAAAAATTGTGCGCAACGCCATGAAACACGCTTAATGACCTGCCCAAAACTAAAAATCATGAGCAACGCCAAGTAAAATGAAAATATCAAAACAATAATGAAGTTGAAAAACAAAATTTTGCATTGTCAACCAAAAAGATAAGGAGGAGGAAAGAAAAATATGTGTATATATATACTAAAAGATTATCTATGTTCGGTTATATATTCCTGAATATATTCATTTATTGCTTTAAAGAGCATTTATTTTTTTATTCATGATACCTTTATGATCGTGTATTTAGGGAATGAGCTTTTCATATGGACTCGTATTTTTCGTTGATGAGTAAAAAAATGATGGAATTCAAAAGAAGTTTGTTAAATGAGACAATGGAATTTAAATAATGGAAAAACGTTTTCATTAAAATGAAAAAGCCCACTACTTGAATGCACATGTGAATGGGTGATTTATGTGTCCCTTCATATGTTTTGTTATGAATACAACAAGTAGAATCACCCGAGAAGATTCATTATATCTTATCTTATATATAAAAGAAAGAAACGTTGGGTAACCCTAAAAAATCCTAATGGTATTTTTGTAATTATTTATTTTTAATATTTTTTTTCTCTACTAATTTCTAACTATAATTTTTAACAGTTATCTATCCCGATTTTTCATCAATATATCTCAATCTTAAGCGATTAAGATAGAAATACGATTTTTAAATCTTAATCTATATATTTGGATTATAAATCTTAATGCAAGATTTAAAAAAACCAATGTTATATAAAATAAGAATAATACTACATTATTAAATTTTACTGTGTTAGTGTACAATATTTTCTTATTATGTATTAAATTGATTATTTTTTTCACTTTTGAAATAATATCCCGTGCATCGCACGGGGAAAAAATGCTAGTTTATTATAATTAGAAGATTCATTATTATTAGAGACTATTACTAAAATAACTTAATTGTCCTTGTAATTCCATATCTAAAAACTATTTTTTAGGGTAATTTTGTCCATACAAAAAAGAGAAGAAACCTCCTACCTATTCATACTTCCATACAAAAAAAAAGGAAAAAACCCCCTACCTATTCATACTTTTATTTTATAAGTAAAAAAGTATAGATGAAGAGATGAAGTTCTGATTGAGTAATAATTAGAAGAATTATAAGACACTTTATTTACAACGTACCAATAAGGTAGAGAGAGAAAAAAAAAATTAGGGTAAATTACGGCTATCCCTGAGGTAAGGTCAAATTACGAAAAAACCTCTCATATTTGGGTAATTACAATCACCCCTTCAATTATGAATCTTCTTACATGTTCACTCTTATGGTGTCAAATTCAACATAATCTTTTAGGTTTCGTGAAATATTCTTCTAGTTTGTACTTTTTTTGCGCAAAAATGTATTTTCTGATGCACCACAATTTGATACTTACAAACCAAGAGACACATCTTTTGATCATCTTGTTTCAAAATGTGAAGCTCGAATGGGATAAAATGAATACAAATTTGAGTATATTCCACATAATTTAGAAGATTCCACTAAATTTGACACCGGCAGGGTGGACGTGTTAGAAGATTCATAATTGAGGGCACTAGTAGAAAAATGACCTCTTACTACGAATTTTTTTGTTACGGTAAAAAACCGAAACAAAAGGTACCTTTTACTACAGGACAATCTTGTAGTCGTAATAGGATTTATCGTAACAAAAAAATATTTGCTACGGCCGTTTACCGAAGCAAAGTTTTTATCACATCCGTATATGCTACGGGGCAAATTCGTAGCAAATGTGTAGCAAAAGTCTTTTTACTACGAATTTAGCACCTTTTGCTATAGTTAATGGTCGTAGTAAAAAGTCATTTTTCTACTAATGGAGTGGTTGTAATTACCCAAATATGATAGAGTTTTTCGTAATTTGACCTTATCTCAGAGGTATCCGTATTTTTCCATAAACCTATATCTGAATAAAAATTCAGATTTTTTTTTTCCGAATAAAAATATGATAAAAATTGATATGTGACATTAAGGTTGCGTTTGGATACCAAGACTTTGTTCTGAATCACCTGCAAAATACTTTATTTGAGGATCAAAATTTTACTACATTTACAATTGTCTCTGTTTCGATACAAAAAAAAGGTGCCGATACTCTGTATACCACACTTAGTAGCTCTTATAATCTTTCTCGTGTTTGTCGAACGAGTCTCGTGTTCGTCACTCATTTTGCTTAGTCAACGAAAGGATAGTCGAAATCATTCGTTTACAATCGATCGGCTTTGTTAGGTAAGCATCCATACCTACTTGCAAGCATTTTGCTTCATCACAAGACATTGCATGAGCAGTTAATGCAACTATCGGAACGTGCATACCACTCCCTAACTCCGATCTTCTTATAGCTTTCGTCGCTTCATATCCATCCATTTTCGGCATCTGCACATTAGTATATTTAAATCACACATTCATCAATCAAATCGACTCGTAATATAATCATTGATTATTTAATTAATTTAAGATAACTTACTTGACAATCCATCAAAATCAAGTCGTATTTTCCATCACGATCGAGAGCTTCAACTGCTTGAATCCCATCTCCTACAACAACTACTTTCGCTCCCAATTTCTCGAGCATTATTTTCGCGACTCTTTGTAGCACCGGAGTGTCTTCGGCAAGAAGTACGCGCAAACCCTCGAGCGATTTTTCTTCGTAATTAATCCCAATATTTCTATTACAGCCGTTAAATTCTCTCATTACACTAGTAGTATTGCAACAATCATTCTCGGACTTGTCAGAATCATCGGAGTGGAGATTATCGTCAATTTCGACAAGTTCGTGAAATTGAACGTCTTCTCCTAATAAAATATTATTTTCGAGCTGCGATAAATTATTTCTCTCCTTAATGACCGAATCGAAAATTTGGATCATTTTTGCTTTGTAGAGAGGCCGATTAACCATTAAAAGATGCCCTCTTTTACGAAGCTCCGCCTTTATAGAATTCGAGGTGTCGTGGTTTAGTATCCATGCAAAGTTGGCTCTGCCTTTGCAATATTCGTCGAGAAAATTGAGCTGTTGCTTCCACAGTCCGGTAGTCAAATCGAGCATCCCAATATCGATAATTATTACGAAAATCGACTTACTAATAATTTCCAAATTTGATTTTCGAGTTTCGGAGTATTCTATGAAGAATTCGTGAAGATTTAGCGTGAGCTCGTTCCATTCGGATGCCTCGTGTGTGTGGACCCCGTTTTTACGTAACCACTGATTGAGAATCGATTTCGTCTTTCTACCATTGAGTGCAAGCAACACCTGTATTATTATTCATCAATTAATCGGATTTTCGAAATAATACATTTTCTTTTTATTTATTTTTTACGAGTAACGAAAAAAAAACTCACGGTCAGATTGTGGTCGTCGAAATTTAACTGGTAATTCTGCTTCGTCGTACTCTCGGGAGGCATGTTGAGAAGCAGATATAGCTGCATTAAAGTTCCATGCCCACTCTTTTTCACCACTTTTATTTCTCCATTCATTTTATTTACCTATTAATAATTTCTCTCACAATTAAGTACATTTTTTTTTCAAAATTTCGTGTCGTTAAATAAATAAATCGAAAATTAATCGTATAAACTTACCAACGTTCGTACAATGCACAGGCCTAGACCAGTTCCACCATGCCTACAAATAACAGAACAAATTGCAATATTACATTTTCGAGAAAAAATAGATATCTTAATAAATTATAATGTAGCTTACGTACAGTCGAGTTGTTGAAGGATCGGCCTGCTCGAAACTTTCAAATACCGATTCCCATTTATTAGGATCAATCCCTGAGAAAACGGCATTTAATTTTATAATGTTATGAGTTTATTATTTTATCAATTTTCGTTACGTAATAGATATATATATATAATTACCGCAGCCAGTGTCGTCGACTTCGAACCAAAGAATCATTTTGTTATCTTTCTTGCGTTTCCATTTCATCTTATGATCGGTGTTCGGTACCGTCTCGCACCATCCGCGCAGAACAATATATCCAGCTGTCGTAAACAGAACACTTTAATTTATTTTTTTTAATGAAATTGATCTTATACTATAATCTACTTTCGGAATATTTATACTTACATGTAGTGAATTTGATCGAATTGCTTATCAGATTCGCGAATATTTGAAGAACTCTACCAGAATCTCCTCGAACAATCTTCGGCATGTCATCTGTAAAAGGATATTTACACATTAAATAGTCGTCTATTAAAAATTAATTAAATAAAATAAAATAATAATAATACCAGAGAGATCAAGAATAGTTTCCACATTGTGATTAATACACTGGACCGAAAACATATCGATTAGCCCTTCGAGTTCTCGTCCCATGTCAAACTCCGTTTCTTCGAGTACTAATTTGCCCGATTCAACCTGTATATATACATTTTCAGATTGCAATAAATATATGATTTTTAATTTCTCATAAAATTCAAAGTATTATTATGTTACATCTTATACCTTACTAAGATCCAAAATGTTGTTAAGAAGACGGAGCAAAGCGGTCGAACATTTACGAATTTGTGTAATCATCGAGCGTTGTTCGTTCGTAAGGCAATCATCGCTCACAAGAATATCTAGTAAACCAATCACCGCAGCCATAGGCGTTCGGAGCTCGTGACTGTCATAACACGAAACCAACAATTAAAAAATATAGATAAAAAAAAAGGAAAAAACGAAAAGTCGAGACTAATATAAGTCAATGGTTACCTCATGTTAGCTAAAAATTGGCTTTTGTAGTTGCTCGACGCCTCGGCCTTCCTTCTTGCGTCTAAATGACTTATAAGTGCCGCACGTAACTTCATCTCCTTCGAAACTCCGTTTGTCAATATAAATATGCAAAAGCACCCGACCAATAAAATGCACACAGACGCCGATATCAATATCATCAAAGTCTTGAACGCTTTTTCGTCCACCTTCCCCATTATATATTTCCTCGGCACAATAATCACCCCAACCTTCAAAAATCCAATCCATTTCACTCGACAAATAAGTCTCGCATTAGGAAAAAAAAAGCAAAAAAAAAATCTAGGTGGTGTTTGCAAAAGCTTTTAAAAAGTAGAAGTTGCTTATTTGTTAATGATAAGTATTTATTTCTAAAAAGTTTGGGGTATTTGCAAATTCCATGAAAAATCAATTTCTAGCAACTTATTTTAGGAGAAGTTGGTCCGTGGGAGCTCTTATTTTATGAAAAATAAAAGCAAAAGTTTGTATTGTTAACACTTAAAAGTGATTCTGAACGCAAAAAAGTTCAGAATCACTTTTCGAAAGTTTTTCCAAACACCATCTAATTAATGCAAAAACACTTACCATAGGAAGCCTTTTCAAATTCAAGAAAAAGGAATCAATATAATAAAGCTCACTCCCAAGCTTAACATTCTCCAAATGAACTTCTTGACTAGGCGGAAACTTATCGCCGTATGCTTTCTTCTGCAAACACTCGGCACCGGATCGTATCACGCTATCCTGAGAATCGACGGCCATGATTAATTTCGGGCCGGTGGTTGAGTTCATGAGGAGAGGGGTACGAGTGGAAGTAGCGAGAAGCCAACCCTCTTGAGAGGTTAAATAAATGTGTCCGCTGTGGAACTCGACGAGCTCTTTCATCAACTGTCCTACACTGTAGAGTGCTGTGGTAACTCCCACAACGGCTACTATGCTCTCGTGTGACGGGTCCCACACGGGAAGTGCCGCCGAGAGAAGAGGCGAATCGGTGTACTTGCTCACCGCTATATGCCAAGATGCTGTCCCGTCTGGAACCTGCGAAATGCCTGCATGCATAATCCATAACGAATCAAAATAGCAAAATCGATTTTATTTTATTTTTGGCTAACTGCGAGGAATCGTAAATCGTAAAATTTTCATATTTTATTCAAAAACAATTATATATTACTAGATTATCGTGAAGAAATGGGAGGTGATATCCATTAAATTCAAGCATTTTTTAATAAAATTTAGTATTTTAATTCCAACATTTATTTTCATTTATAAAAAAAATGTCAAAAAATTTAATTCCAACATTTATAATTCATTTTATCCTTTAATTTTATTTCAAAACAAATGTCAAATTATTTTTGGTACAAAAAAATATTTCAAGTTCTTAATAATAAAAAAAAACTGATTGAATCGTAAAAATCGTACAAAATCGTAATAGATCGTAAAAAATCAATTTGATTTGGAAAATCGTAATTTCTTTAAAATTTGAATCGGCGAGTTTAAAACTCGAAAAAAAAAACCTATGAAATAAATCGTATGAGTTTAGAAACCATGCCTGCAATGTTGATCAGCTCGTCCGGTGGGATCTGTGTGGCTTTTCCGATTTTTACGCCAGTGAGAGGATCAAGAGGCTCTCGGTACCAAATTGCGGAAATATTGCCGTGTATAGATTGATCATTCCATCCTTGATGAGACGAAAGCTCGTTAACATCATATGACCTACTAATCGAGTAGTTGACGAGGTCGGAGTATATGTAATAAGTATGATTGTTCTTATGACTTCTGTGAAAAGCTTGGACGAAACCATTCCTATAGTTCATAGTTAACGATTTGAGCGCCTTGCGGCTCGAAAACAACGCCCATGTTACGTCCCTCATAACTTCGTAAAGCTGCTGATCAAAATCAAAGATATAACTAACCATGCTTAATATTTATCAGAAAACAATTATTGGGTTAATTGCATTAAGCACCTTCGTGTTATAAATATTTACAAAATCACCCTTATGATGTAATTTTATTAACAAACTACCCCTTGAAAGTGCATCATTTAGGGGTTGTGTGCTAATACAAATGTATCATAGGGGAATTTTTGCTAATTTTTATAACACGATGAGTTATTTTTAGCAATTTGATGTAACACAGGGGTTCTGGATGCAATAAACTAAAAACATATTACTAGGAGACAAATTTCGAACAACCTCAACTTGTTGTGCTTGATCGACGGGCTTGTTGTAGCGTCTGATGACCGACTCGGAGAGCTGGACTTGGGCGGTTGCAACTTCGACGGTAGAGTTGAGAATATTCCACATACGTAAAATGGGCCGTTGTAGGAGTTCGTGACGAAGACCGTACGCCAACGTGTTCAATGATCTTGTAGTGTAAACTCTTGTAATATGCCACGTCAGCAAAGTTAGCAGGCCTATCAAGATTGCCAGCATAACCTGCACACTTGCACATTCAAGTAAGAAACATTTTAAGGAAGCAACCATGTATAGGTAAAATTGTAAATTTGGTCCTCTATGTTGGCATATTTAGGGATTTAGTCCCCTAAGTTAACATGTTTCAATTTTACTTGCAATAATTTTACAAATATAGTATTTTTGGTCTTATTTTACATGAGTATTTAATTTTATGACACGAAAATATAAACTCAATATATGTTATTTATACGGACGCTTACATATTATAAATTCAACATATAATTTAGCCTTGATTGAACTTTGATTATGTCAACTGACGAATTTGTAAACAAAAATAGAGAAGCAATTATAATTTTTAAAGCGTCCGTATAAATAAATCTTCCGACAAATTTGTGTGTTAGCTACATAATTAATCAACGGATAATTAAATAAATATTAATTAACTTATTGCATATGTAAAATTGAAATAGGACAACAGATGACTAAATCCCTAAATAGGCCAACATGGAGGACCAAATTACAATTTTAGGTGGAGAAAAATAAATTAAATTTAATTAGAGGGACGTACGTACCATGATAGCAAGACGAACGACGAAAACGCTGTAGTAGGAGGAAGAGAGACAAAGGGTGGAGTCATCATATTGAATCTCTTCTTCTTCAACATCTCTTTGGAAAGATGTTCTGCCTGGAAATTTAATCCTCACTTTGAAAATATTAAGAATGTCAGAAATTTTGTTCAAGAGTCTTTTGTGAAGGGATCCCATTATTAATTATTAATAATGGAGTTAAAATTGAAAAATAATAAGGTGGTGGTGATGAAGATTCAAGCTGAAAATTGGGCTTCTATTGGCTTAAAATTGTGAGCACATATGTGTGTAAGTGAGATGTAAACTACACTAGAAATTGTGGAATAAATTAGGCCTAAAAATATAATATTGGTAGGGGAATATAATCTAAACCAACTTGTGATACCTAATAATAATGCCATACTTTCTTGAAATATATATAAAATGAAATTTGCTCTAGGATTTTGAAGGGAGGGAGATTAGTGGAAGAAAGAAAAGATTTTGTTGGATTTGTACTAATGTATCACAGTCGAATCCCACTTTTATCGTTTTAAGGCAATAATGCCACGCTGGCTGTAATAATGTGTACGTACTGTTTGTTGCGTTGGTCAATTTTTTTATTTAGGGGCTCTCTGATATAACTTCTCAAACATTTTATTAATAGGTCGAGGCGGAAGAGGATCGGAAATAGGTGGGGTGCATAAAAAGGTCACGGAGATTGCCGCGGAGGGTGACGGCGGAGCGAGTGGCACACTCCAGGGCGTACCACTTGCTGCAGACAAGGGTGGCGGAGTTGCGGCCGCGGACGTCGAGCACGGCGGCGATTTTTTTTTTTTTTTCCGCAAAAGTTGGATTAAACTGGACACTAATCTACTATGTAGTTTGGATAGTCAATTAATAGATCAACTATGTTTTTTTATAGTCGATTTATTAGTTTTAGGTCTAATATATTCTAATATTTTAATCAATTATAGTCGATTAGCATCCAGTTTAATCTAAATTTTGTGAAAAAACATAATGTAAATTAAAAAAATTGGGAAAAGACATAAAGAGGGGATTTTTTTTAATTGTTTATTTGAGGGGTTCTACTCACATGATTTTTTTTCAAATGAGGAGAGTCTTGGCTAATTTTCTCTTTTATTTCTTCAGAAAAAAATAAATTAAATTCTCTTACAAATAAATACATGTGGGAAACGATCCGATCGAACAATATATTAGTTTGTGATCTTGTCTGCTAATAAAATTTGTCCTCAATATTTTAAAAGCAAAAGTCACCTAATAAATATTGTACTTGAGAGAGAATCTAATGTTATAGCGTATGTATTATGTAAACGTGTGTGTTTACTAGGGGTGAGTTCGGGACGGGATTTCGGGAATTCGGGATTTTCGGGATCGGGATTCGGGATAGAAATTTTAAATCCCAATCCCGTCCCAAACTATTAAATCCTGGTTATATCGATATCGGTATCCCTAAATATTTCGGGAATCGGGATTGGGATCGGGAAATCCCATATTTTGCCTAAAAACTAAGAAATATTGCATCTATTAGTATTATTTTATACACTAAACCAACTTGAATATATTATATACATACTATTCTCCTTGCCTTATTTATTTTTACAACAAAACTTGGAACAAATAAAATTTTAAAAATTTAAAAATAAGTTGAAACAATATATTTTATATATTGTATTTCTCATCTCCTTGATTATATATATATATATATATATATATATATATATATATATATATATATATATATATATATATATATATATATATATATATATATATATATATATATGTGTGTGTGTGTGTGTGTGTGTGTATTTTTTTATTAGTTTTTTTTCCTAATTCGGGATTAAAATATCCCGATCGGGATTGAACCAATTCCCTAATACCGATCCCGTATTTGTTCATAATCCCAATCCCGAATCCCGTAATCCCGAATTCCCGAAGTTTTAGTCCCAAATAGTAAAATTCCGATCGGGACGGGACGGGATCCCGAATCCCGATCCCAAATGCCCAGCCCTAGTGTTTACTCAGCTAAAAAGGTATACCGTGGTAATCGGTATTTGGTAATTTTTGTCCAGCCCTAATTAGTTTGGTAAAAAAAAATCTAAATAGATCTTTTGTTTGGTTTATTTTTATTTTTATTTTTATTTTTTTTATGAAAAATGACTTGTTGGAGCTTATAAAGTGTTTTTACAAAGTATATTATACCCACATTTTTATTTAAAATATTATTTGTACCTTACGTCAATATTCAAATATAAAAATACCCTACATATTTGATTATATTACATAAAAAATACCCTCCACGTACAATTTTCTTTTTTTTTTTTCGAAACAACATCTTGTCACAATCAGGCCTAATAATTATTAAAAAAATATCGGGCAAAATACACCTTACCCCTTTGTATTATGCCCCATGTAACACTTAGTCTATCATACTATAAAAAATACACTTACCCCCTTATTTGAATGGTCAACCTATTTGACTCTTAACGGTGTTAGTAGTAAATTAATTTAATATATTCTTAACAATCCTTACTAAATGGCACATTTTTTTATTTAAAAAAAATATTACATGTACTATAAATAAATTAAATAAATATTTAAGATAATTTTTTTTTAATTTTTGATTAAATAAGAAAACTATTATTACTTTTTAATAATTCATAAGAAATGACATCTTATTTTATTAAAAACAAATATTTTTTCATTGTGGATAAATATATTAAATAAATATTTAACATGTATAAATTTTTAAATATAGGATTAAAATATTTACTCATTAAATATGTATATTAAAAATTGTAATTCTACAGTATTAATTTTTAACGACATATGCTAATGATTTATTTTGTTTATTTGTAACATCAAATTTCACTTAAGCCGTTTACATTTAGGATTCACTATACGAAATTTAATGTTACCAATAAATATTAAAAATTCAATGTACACAATGTTTAATGAGTTAAATAATTTAATCCAGAATATAAAAAATTATACTTGCTACTTGGTTGTATAAAATAATATATGAAAAATTATACTATCTAACTATTAATTTTTAATATAGATATTTAACAAGTAAATTATATTTTATTCAAAATTTAAAACAGAATTGCTATCTTAAATATTATTTAATATATTCATAGTACATGTAATATTTTTTTAAATAAAGAAAATGTGTTCCTAAGTAATTAGTAAGGATAATTAAGAATATATTAAATTTATTTTACTTCTAACACCCTTAATAATCAAATAGGTTGACCATTAAATGAGAGGTAAGTATATTTTTCATAGTACGAGGGGTAAGTGGTATATAGGAAATAGTACAAGGGGGTAAAGTGTACTTTGCCCAAAAATATAAGGTAATATAATTAGGGGTCTTTACAAATAAGCCCATCAATGGGTACTTATTTATAAAGATATCTAGACAAAAAACTCCTTTAGCAATAAGTCCACACATGGTCCAGATTTTTGTAAATGACTAAAATAACCCCTCATACTTTAATATGCTCCAATTTCATCATTAATTTTATTTAACCTCAATTTGACCCCATATTATACAAATTATTCAATTTTGACCCAAAACTTTTTTATTTTCAATTTTTTTTTTTCAAAAACCTTTTTTTTCCTGCCGGATCCCGGTGTTGACCGGCGGTCAACGCCGGTCTCCGGCGTTGACTTTTCAATTTTTTTTTCGTTTAAGCAGCAATATTGCTGTGATTGACAGTAATATTAACTATATTACTGTTAAACACAGTAAAATTAAACTAAACTACGGTTTAACACAGTAATATTGCTATATTAATCTCTAGCACAGTAATATTAACACAACAAAACTCATTATTATTGTGTAATAGAGTAATATTACTATGTTGACCGTTCAACAAATGTAAACATAATAAAAAACCAAAAGAATTAATATTACTGTGAGTGACAGTAATATTACTATAGCAACAGTAATATTACCGTCAACCACAGTAATATTACAATAATAGACAGTAATATTATTACGTTACTCCATGAATAAAACAAACAAACAAAAAATCCAAACAAAATAATAATATTGATGCGGTTGACAGCAATATTACTATAACAACAGTAATATTACCGTCAACTACAGTAATATTATTGTGTTTACAGTAATATTACAATAAAAGACAATAATATTATTACGTTACTCCGTGAATACTCAAACAAAACAAAAAACCCAAAAAAAATAATATATTGATGTTGTTGACAGTATTATTGTGTTTACAGTATTTTACTGTCAACGGCAGTTATTATAATTACGTTGACTTGTCAA